TGTATTTATTGATGATGTGACTGCTGACAAAAGCAGCAGGATGAATTCTGAAGTGTTTCGGGCAATATTATCTGCTCATATTCAGCCAAATGCTTCAGAACTCATTGGACGGCGCTTCACGGTGCAGAAGGACAATGACCCAAAGCATACTGCAAAAGCAACCAAAGAGTTTTTGAAGGGAAAGAAGTGGACTGTTATGTCATGGCCAAGTCAATCACCTGACCTGAATCCGATTGAGCATGCATTTCACTTGCTGAAGACAAAACTGAAGGGAAAATGCCCCAAGAACAAGCAGGAACTGAAGACAGTTGCAGTAGAGGCCTGGCAGAGCATCACCAGGGATGAAACCCCGCATCTGGTGATGTCTATGCGTTCCAGACTTCAGGCTGTAATTGACTGCAAAGGATTTGCAACCAAGTATTAAAAAAGTGAAAGTTTGATTTATGATTATTATTCTGTCCCATTACTTTTGGTCCCTTAACAAGTGGTAGGCACATATGCAAACTGTTGTAATTCCTACACCGTTCACCTGATTTGGATGTAAATACCCTCAAATTAAAGGTGACAGTCTGCAGTTAAAGCACATCTTGTTCGTTTCATTTGAAATCCATTGTGGTGGTGTATAGAGCCAAAAATGTTAGAATTGTGTCGATGTCCCAATATTTATGGACCTGACTGTATCTAGTCTTTTTTTCTACACCTATTCGTATTCGCCAAGCTGGAGATCATTGTGCTGTGGCTTCTACAGATGTGGCCATTGAGAATGCGCATCAAAAGTAAAGGGATCCTGCGATTTCATGTGGTACCATGCAGGAGACTGCATGAAAGACAAGACAAGACCAGTAGGGGGCAGTCATGCTTCATTTGAACAAACACGGCTTGCTAATAGATATAGTAGTTCTGCCAGGATATATACTGTATACAGCCTATACTCTGTTTCCAACCAAACGGTGCTGTTTCTTGTACTGAAGCCCATGATCTGCTTGTGCTTCGCCAGTGGATCTGTGAACCTCTCTCAGAACTGTTTTGCAACAGCAGCAGAGCACATTAAACGTCATGGAGATACTGTGTTGAGCTAGAGCAGTAGTTCTTAACTGATTTGGCCATGAGACCCACATTTTCCCCATGATCATTAAGCCGCGACCCAAATTTTTAGGAATTTGAACCAAGCAAATTTATTTCTCAGAAATGTTCATCATACACACAATACTAACATGAACTGTTAATAAAACATATTGACACTTATCCTGATGAATGCAATGAACATCATACCTGCATACTAATCCTTAGCAGTAGACTGATGAAAAGAGTCATAAATGCATTTACATCTAATATGACAGCTCTCTCATAATAAACATGAGCTGTTTCACTTACACTGTTTCACAGACATTTGGGAAGCTAATGAGATAACTGGGGATGTGCTTTACTCCTGATAAGAGTTTCAAAGTGTGGGGTGATGGTAGACAGGGCTACCCTAAGATCATGCTCAATGTCCAGTCTGTTCCTCTGCTTTGACTTAAGCTGGACCAAAGAAGAGAAGCCACTTTTGCACAAATAGGTAGTGCTGAACGGTAGGATGATTTTGATTGCATGAGTGGCGATGTATGGATACTCAGAAATCACATCCCTGCACCCGAACTGGGGGAGGCTTACCTCACTCAATTTCTTTTTCAGCATCTGATCACCACCAGCGGATTCTCTTCCTTGCTTAGCAATGTGACGCTTTCCATGTCGATTCCAAATGGATCGTGTATCCATTAAATTGAAGTTTCAGTTTACTGAGATGTGCCATGACAGTTCTCTTCAGTGCATTTTTTCCTGAAGTATCCAGCTGTTGTGCTCCATTACAAGCACTAGGATGACACGTCTTCTGCTATTGTGTGGGGTTTCTTGGCCTTTGCAATATGGTGAGCTATGTAGTAAGAGTGCCTGTACTTGTTTTGAACACGATAATGTTAGGCACCTTTGTGATGCCCTCAGCTCCTGGAGTCATCTTTGAAAATACTCAACAGGTTTGTCTTTGCAAGCTGGGTGTTTTGTTTCTAAATGACATTTTAATTTGGATGGTTTCATGCTCTCTTGTGCACTTCATTACATACAACACACTGAGGTTTCAGGCCCTTTTCGATGTACACAGATCCATATTTTATATATTCAGGGTCATACTTGCACTTCACTGTATGTATTAATAAAATAATTATTTGACCTTGTCACCTTTCAATTAGTGGAAACATCAACAGCTGTCACGCACATCTTTCAAAAGAAAAGTCCTGCATCGGAAAAACGTCTTTTTTTGTTGTTTCTTTGACTACACACTCCACAACCCACTCAAAACGGTCCTGCGCCCCACTTTTGGGTCGCAACCCACCGGTTGAAAAACACTGAGCTAGAGTATGTTGTTCAATGCGCCACCTGGTGGATATTGTGTGAAGCACAACAAATTAATTTAAATTCTAAGACCCGTGCCTGCAGGTTGTCGTGTGATCAAGCATGACAAATCACGTGAAACCATGTGAAAAAGCGTGCATTCTTAAAGGCCACATCTGTACTTTACCTGTCCCCAATAGCAGGGACCAGTCCTTGCTCACCTATTTTTAATGGTGGGGGTGACTCAGCACAAAAGTCTTTTCAGCACATGGTTCCTTTCTCAAATCCTCATGTTCCTTAAACCCAAAAACACAGCCCTAAAGTAGAGATAACAGCTCTGTTTTAAACCAGTTTTACTCTTCACTTTGCTTATCCCCCTCATCTTCCTCCTCATGTGTGATCTGCAGGTGATTTTACTCTGTTTAGTACACAAAAGGATAGACCTGTTTTTCTGCACATCACTTGCTACATGCTTGCATTCTGTCTTGGAAGAAATTCTGACATGAAATTTTTATTTTAAGTCTCTGTCTCATTTTTGACTTCAGGCTGTGTCACAAAGAAAGAAATATTAAACTTTACCTCTCGATGATGGGGATCCACAAGCATCGTGACAGGTTTTGGATTATTATTGAACATTGGCAGTTTTAGAATGCCAATGGAAATCAAGCCCATGACCACAAGTGGTACAATGAACCTCCTCCTGGATGAAAGAGCAGATGAAAGAGGACCTATTATAATCTGATGAACAGATTTATCAAGATTATATTATTATGGATCACTTAAATACATACAGTATTTTATTAATTTTCCTTGTGTTCACATTCTTTTTATTGCATTGTCTACCGTGTATATTTCCTTTCATTCATCACAACGTGGCTTCACAATCCAACAACTAGATAATTTATACTATCATTATATACTAAAAAATTATAGCAGGAGTGGGACTGATTTTCAGCTTGGGCCAAATCCACAGTTTAAACTCTTTTGACTTTTTAGTTTCAAAGATATTTTGTTGTTCCTCTTTCGGCTACTCCCATTAGGGGTCGCCACAGCAGATCATTGGTCCGCATATTTGATGTGGCACAGTTTTTTTTTACGCCGGATGCCCTTCCTGACGCAACCCCAATTTTATCCAGGCTTGGGACCGGCACTGAGAGCGCACTGTTGCACGCAACCCCAGTGGCTGCAATCGAACCCGGGCCGCAGTGGTGAGAGTGCTGTGGCCTAACCACTAGTCCACCAGGGACAGTTTCAAAGATATTCCAAACAAAAAAAAACTTGGGCCTAAAATAAATATAAATAAACTTTAAATAGTTTAAATAGTGAACAATGAATGAACTAGGCTAATGAATGTCAAGTTAAAATAGAAAACATACATAAAAATAAAGTGCAGGATTTCTGAACATAGGTTATTTTAATATAAAAAAAATACAATATTGGCTTGTAATCCATATGAAACCAAGAAGAGGTACAGTCTTTCCATCTCACTTCATTATCTGATAATTCACACGCTATTCACAGGGAAAATAGTTCGGTGATTCACGTAAGAGGCACACGCCCCCCCCAGACAATGCCATCAAAAACATCAAGTTTCCACACAGAACTGGAAACTATCAGAGCACATGTGAAAATATACTGATTTTCTTCCTGTCACTGCCAGAAGTTCCACATTGCATGTTAACAGAAACAACAGATATCTCAAGTAAAAAGCAGCATTAGTATGCCTACTTTATGATACACATGCATGTAAAGGGGAGTCAGATTTTGCCCGGAAATTTGTCACAACACCAGCTTTGTGCTGTTTTCTGATCTTGCAGAATTAGCACAATTAAACCGCAGCAATAGCGGTGTGGGTGTGTCCCACCTCAGGTCGTTATCAGATAATGAAATGAGATGGAAAGACTGTACCTCTCCTTGGTTTCATATGGATTACATAAACTGAGAATATTTGTTTTCGATTTGACTCGCTTCATTTAAAAATAGACACCTCAAGCTTTCCATAGATATATTTCTCATCTCTGTGTGTCAAGTATTCGCTGAGTTTCAGTTCATTTTAGTGACGCGTTTCAAACAGATATGCAGGGAGACTGAGACGGCTGAAAGCACACCCTGTATATTTTCTTTATTTTTCAAAAGCACAATGATTTGTTGATATTGAAAGTGTACACAAATAAAAATAGACCCTTTACAGATTCAAACAATGTATTACTCATGTGTACGATCAAAAAAGACGGAGCATTTTAAGTTCTTTTCGCTGTTATCATTAAAAACTGCAAGCGGTGGCGTCGTCCCCAAAGGGTTAAAGTCACAGGCATCACACATGGATAAAGAAATGAGTGCTTAGTCCATGTGGGTCATTTTCCATGTATGACTATGTTCAGTGGGTATAGAAAAGAATCACCCCCCCCTTCAAAATAATCACATTTTGTTGCTTTGCAGCCTGAAATGAAGACGAACACAATTTTTGTTTTATCCAGCTGTATTTACTCAGTGCACCTTATAACATCCAACTGAAAGATACAACAGCAACAGGTCAGAAAAATATAAAAAAAATTAAAAAACAATCACTGAGAATCACTATGGGTGGCAAGGCACTGTCAAAAGATCTCCAGGATAAAGTTGTAGATAGGCACAAGTCAGGAGATGGATACAAGAAAATTTCAAAGGCTTTATCAATCCCTAGAAGCACAGTGAAGTCTGCTATTAAGAAGTGGAAGGTGTTTGGTTCAACTGAGACCCTCCCTGGATCAGGATGTAGCTCCAAACTGGGTGAAAGAGCGAGATGGAAACTGGTCAGAGGCTACCAAGAGCAACTTTGAAGCAGTTGCAGGAATTTATGACAATGAGTGGTCATTGTGTGAATGTGACAATATCACAAATTCTCCACAAATGTGGCTTGTATGGGAGGGTTGCAAGAAAAAATCCACTCCTCAAGAAAGGCCACATTTAGTCACGACTGAGCTTTGCCAAAACACACCTTGAAGATTCTGAGGCTACATGGAAAAATACACTATATTGCCAAAAGTATTCGGTCACCCATCCAAATGATCAGAATCAGGTGTCCTAATCACTTGGCCTGGCCACAGGTGTATAAAATCAAGCACTTAGGCATGCAGACTGTTTTTACAAACATTTGTGAAAGAATGGGCCGCTCTCAGGAGCTCAGTGAATTCCAGCGTGGAACTGTCATAGGATGCCACCTGT